AGGTGACTTTCTCTGAGTGGTCGGCCCCTTCGTCTTGGCGGTGGCTTTTGCTCCGTTCTGCAAGCACTCAAGTCACATTAGAGCTCTCGTTCTACGACCGCTGAGCCACTCCAAGGCTGTTCCTGCCTCGGGGCCACTGTGTCTCCTTCTCTGACACTTTGCATGGTTGGTTCTCTCATTTTACCCAAGCAACCTTTGAAAGAGTTCTCAAAGAAACGTTCCTTACCACCTTCCAGTAAGCAGGCTCCATCCATGTCACTCTGCATGACTGTGTCCCATGTTTCTTCTCTCCTTACTAGTTATTGCTACTTGAAATCAAATCATACATGCATTTGCCTTCTGGCTTTTTATGAGGCTCTCTGACAGCATTTGATATGAAGCAGGTGGGCTAAATTGACCCAAAATACATGAGAGGGCAAAATGGGAGATAAATGAGATAGAGGAAAAAATTGCCAAAATACTATTTGATAAAATCTAGACTATACTAAGAAGGACATATGTAAAGAGCTGAACTTAATTTAGCTAAAGAAGAGAAGAAAGTAAATTTTCTGGTTTATAAAACTAAAAATGTGAAATGTGTGGTCTTTCTAAACGATTGAAGGGATTGTTTTTGGTTTGTTTGGTTTTTTATTTTCTTTTTTTGAACCAAATCTTAGAGCCAGCTGAGACTGTTAAATAATCTGGAGGACGGGATAATGATGTACCAGTAAATGTAAGTTCCTCCTTACGACATATGCTAGATGATGGGAGATGTAAAATATTACCTTCCCCCTCTTCTCTTGACTTTCTATTTTACTGCATGTTTTCTTCTTCATTTTTTATCAATAAAGAATAAATTGTCAAAAAAAAACTAAAAATGATTACAGTAACTCTTTTAAAACTACATCCAGTGTGGTTTGTTATTTCAGCTCTGGTTCCTCCTGCCTGTACAGGCTGTTTTCTGATGGATTTCCCCTACATGGTAAAAAGAATGATTAGGAAAAGGAATTGCCCTACTCTTTGCCAGATTAGCAACCTCAAAAGAAAATGGACACTTCTTCCCTGGTGGTAGCCATCAGATTTAGACATACATGTCCAGAGAGAATCAGTCGCTATAGCTAATGAGAATATTTTGATGTGTGAAGTTCTGGTATTCATCCCTGGATCTATGTGGTAATACCAGTCCTACCCAAGTTGCAAGACAGACTGTTGATCACAAAGTCTTATAAAATTAAAAATAAAACTATCATATAATCTAGCAATACCACCTCTGCATATATATCCCAATGATTTAAAAACTGGAGGGGTTGGAGAGAGAGCTCAGCAGGTAAGAGCACATACTGCTCTTGTGGAGGATTCAAGTTCAGTTCCCAGCAACCACATATAACTCCAGCTTCAGAGAATCTGATAGTCTTTTTTGGCCTTTAAAAGTATCTGTACTTGTGTGCATATATCCAAATATATATATATATATATATATCCACATAATTAAAATTAAATAAATATTTCATAAACGAATAAAAAACAGGATCTTGAACAGAATGTGGTTGTGCATCCCTAAAATGTCAGTACTCAAGAAGGTGAGGTCAGAGGATTACGAGAACAGCCTGGGCTGCATGGGGAGCCCAGGTACCAAAACATCAGAACAACAACCAAACGACACAGGGTCCTAAAGAGATGTGTACACACTCACATTCATGGTGGCCAAGAGCAGAGAAAATCTAAATGTGGATTGAAAGAGGTTTGGTAAACAAACGTAGTGTTAGACTACAATGGAATACTATTTATCCTTGAAAGGGGAGGAAATCCTGTCACATGCTACAACATGGATGAAAGCCTTAAAGACACACTAAGTTAAATAAGCCAGTCTCAGGAAGGTAGCCACTACTTTTCTACTTGCAAGATATGTCTAAGTTGCAATAGAAAATGTAGTGGTGGTTATCAATGTCAGAGTGAGGGATAAAAACATTATTTGTTGCCATGTAGTATGAACATACACATACTTCCACTTTATACAGTTACAAATGGTCAAGATTATAAATCACATGTTAACTTTCTTGTCACAAAAAATAAAAGTCTAAGCAGCAGTGGATCCAGGAAACAAACTCAGTTAACTGAACCATCGCTCACTTTTGCTCATTTTCTTTTTTATATATGCTGTGACAAGTTCCTGTTATGTTGTCTAGGCTGGCTTCAATTTGACATGCAGCCCATGCACCCCTGAAACTCGTGACACCCCTTGTTCCACTTTCTGAGTGTGGAGATTAGAGGTAACACTACCATGCCTACAATCAAACATTCTTTCACTCAGTTTCACTGTAGTTCAGTTAATTAGGCTGATAGGTTAAAGGGGTTGAAATAAATCGTTGTGGACATAGATAGATAGATGGATGGATAGATGGATGGATGATGAATAGATGATAGATAGATAGATAGATAGATAGATAGATAGATAGATAGATAGATAGATATAGATAGATAGATAGATGATAGACAGACAGATAGATAGATAGATATAGACAGTAAGCATTGCAGCTCCTGTGGAAAGGTATCCTGTCAGGAGCCAAGATAAGCCACAAAATCACTTACAGCTTACAGCTCTGAACCAGGGAAAGGTTTCCCCAATGCAAGTGTTACTCTGCTCCACTAGGGGAAAGTTTCCCAGGGAAAATGTTACAGTCCGACTCCCCTCTTAGCTATGGCAAAAATCGTGACAGCTGAGCTTGGCTCCCATGAAAATGTCACACTGCACAACAAATCTAGAGATTTATTGGGAAGGAAAAATCCAGAAGGGTGGCTGCCTCCAGGGTGGGAATCAGCAGCAAACTGAACAGGGTACAGAGTTTATATAGGGTTTCTTTGGTGGGATAGGACTTTCCAGGGTGGCTAGGAATTGGTGGGTTTTTGTGGCCGAATTTTGTGGCAAGCACAGGGATTGGTGAGATTTCAAACTCAGTGATTAGTGGGATTTCATGTCAGAAATCTCAGGGATTGGTGGATTTCTGTGCTCAGGGATTGGTGGAATTATGTAGCCTGACTCTGGGGCAAGCTCAGGGATTGGTGGGATTTCAAGTCCTGGTCCCAGGGTCAAGTCAGGGTCAGGGTGTTTTTATTTTTTCCCTACAGATAGATGGGTAGGGAGAGAGAGAGAGAGAGAGAGAGAGAGAGAGAGAGAGAGAGAGAGAGAGAGGTGGATGGATGGATGATAGATAGATAGATAGATAGATAGATAGATAGATAGATAGATAGATAGATAGATAGATGATAGATGGGTAGGTAGATGGATGATAGGTAGATAGATAAATAGATGATAGATAATAGTCTAGATGTTTGTCTCCCTCAATTCATATTTTGAAATTCTAATCTCCATGGGGATGGTATTAGGAATTGATGTTATAATGCCACAGTCATTATGAATGGTTCTATTGCCCCATGTGAGGACACATTTAAGGTCTCCAACTATGAACCTTGTAAGAAACAGGATCCCACCAAACACTTAACTTACACGCCCTTTGATATTGGATTTCCAGCCTCCACAGCTGTGAGAAATCTTGTTTATAGACCGTGTAACTATGGGCCAAAAGGCTATGGGGAGATACCTTCTTCTGAATTCCATCTAATTCCAAGTTGAGCAGCAGTCTTAGCTCCTGTGTCCCTGATGGAGAGGGATTCACATCAGACTACAGGTAGACAAGCAGGTCTATTGACAGCAGATAAGTGAGCAAAAACTAAGCTTACCCTCCAGCATGAAGACCAAACAGTCCACTGGCAACAGCAAAGCCTCCCCCCAGTACCTGGACAGCCATTTCTCACCCTCCTCCCAGACTGTGGTGTGTCAGGGTAGTCCCTCTCCAGGGTAGTCCCTTTCCTGGAACAGACAGAGGCTTTCTTAGAAGCCATTCCCAAACACAGTGCAATCAGTAACAATCAGATGTATTAGATACAATAGGTATGAAGGTGAATCCTAATAAAAGGCGTTTAGTAGGAGAAATGGTAACAGTGCCTTCCGGAGGCTCTTCAGGGAAGTTCTCTACGGGAACTGCCTGCAGCCTGCCTAGGCCAGCTTTGCTGTGTTTCTGGAGCCCTAGTCTTCTTATGTGGTCAGCTGGGCTGTCTTATTTCCCAGCTGTAGGCTCTCTACCCTCCTTCAGGTTCCTCACCTTACGGTTTTAATCCTAACATTTCTTTAACCCCAATAAAAAGGCTCCTGAATGCATGTGTCTTGAATAAATTTCCTAATTAATAAATCTTGTTTTCACAGCCACATTGTAATCCTCAACATAATTGTTAAATATTTAAATTAGGAATTATCATCATTCCCAGATACTGTGTGGCTGAGCCTAGTAAAATACTAACATCAATTTGTCTGGTTTAAGAAGCCAGTGGTTATTTAATGTGATCTTAATAAACATAATAGGAGTTGTAAGACACAAAAGAGGAAGGGATGCTAGGTGTGGGGATGCATGCCTATGACCCTAGCACTCAGAAAACTGGGTAAGTCTGGAAGATCATGAGCTCAAGGCCAGCTTGGCCGCACGGGAAAAACCTGTCTTAAAAATACAAGGAAGAAGTAAGGTGCTGTGACATATACCTGTACTTACAGCACTTAAGAGGCAGAGGCAGGAGGATGAAAAAGTCAAGGCCAACATCAGCTCTATGGTTTATGTTTATAGTTACATATTTATCATAGATTGCATGTGTATATACTGTGTATATCAGCAAGTTTGAGGCCAGCCTAAGGCTACGTGAAACAAGAATGAGGGAGTATTTCTTGAGTCTAATAAAAAGTAATGAAAAGTTGCATGGGCATTTACAGCAAACTGAGGTCTCTTTAAGAAAGGCGTTAGGTGGCATTTTCATTGGCGTGTATAAAAGGGGGAGCAATCGTGACGTTTGTAACGTATAAGGCAAAGAACTTCAGGCGAGATGAAGCTGGAAAGGTTTTTTGGGGCCATATCTGGAGCGGAGCTTGAATCTTAAAGAGAGTTAAAAATGTTTGGAGAGACTGCTGTGTGGGATGAGCAGTGAGTCAGCAGGGGAGAAGTAAAAGAAGTGCTGAGCAGGAGCCATGGCTCAGCTAGGATGAATCTGTGGCAGGCTCAATCAGCACAGCTTTCTCCAGCGACACTGCTCAGCCCAAAGGAAGCAACTGGGAGTTCAAGGTCAGTGGGAAATTTTAAGGAACAACAACAAAAAAAAAATGACAGCTGACTGTGTCACCATGGAAGGCTGTACTGGTTGAGAGGAGATGGGAAGGAAGTTTGCAGACAAAAGAGCAAGGCTGTTCTAGAAGTAAATAGCAGGGTAGATGTAATTAATGTAGGATGACTGACGTGAAAGAAATATGGAGGAATCGGTGAGAGTAGACATAGATGCTGGGATCCAAGCACGAGGTGAAACTGGGGCTCGGTGGGATCACTGGGCGTCTCTGGAATCACTGACACGATTGGCCAAATTCACTAAGTAAACAAAAAAGGACACAGAACAAGAGCAGCTGAAATGTCTGAAAGAGAGACAGCTGAATTTCCACAGCCAGAAAGATAATTCAGAATGACTCAGGGACGTGGCCTCTTTGTCCTTGTCCTCTGTTCTTATGTTAAAGAAAGGGAAGTGTGGGGCTGAAGAAATGACTTGGTGGTCAAGAGCACCGGATGCTTTCCTGGAGGAGCCAGGTTCTGATCCCAGCACCAATATGGCAGCTCACAGCCATCTTTTAATTCAAGTTCCAGGAGATCAGATGCCCTCTTCTGGCCTCCAGGGGCACCGCATGCATGTGATGCACAAACATACCGGCTGGCAAAACACTCATACACAGTAAATAAAAACAAACTCTTTTTAAAGGAAGGAAGGTGGAAAAGACTGTGCTGCAAAGGATTCCATGGGAAGTATCATCAGTGACAGGAAAGCTGAGTTCATATAGAAAGCATTTGTGAGAAGGAAGGGGATGTTATAGGAGGTCTCCATGAAAATAACAGCATTGCCATGACTTGGCAGCACAAAAAGACAAAGGCCACCTCTTGGCTCCTTAGAATCACTCAGGTATCCTAACTCACAAATCAGACATAAGCATGGAGTCACTTTATCCAGTTAAAAGTGATCCAATGATTGGTGCCACGCCCGGTGGGAGCTCTGTAATCTGTTGTACAGTTCACCACCTACCTCTTGACCTGTGTAGTTCAGAAACCTGGTTTATAATGGAGCCTCAGTGGTCTGGGACTTGGATGGATGACTGAAGAACAGGACCTCCCTACCAACCCGTGACACACAGTTTTGCATAATGCGAAATAAATCTTTGTTGATTTGAGCCATTGAGCCTAGGGAGGTGGTATTTGCTACTGCAGACAAATCTATCCTGACCAATAGGAACCCTAATAACTGAGAAAAATTTTAAAGCCATTACCCCAAACATGTATTACTAATGGCCTCTTTATTTTAAAACCAGTATTTTAAAATTATAAAAGTTTTTTGAAGATGCACACCAAAAAAAAAAAAAAATGCTAGTTTAGGCAAGACTATGCCACGATTCAGATGCCCAGCACCTATTTGTGAAGAGCCGGCAACAGTGAAGCCAGACCTAGTTCTTCCAGGACCCACCTCAAACCACCCCTAACTCAGATCCTTTAGCACTACTGAGCCACAGGCCCCAGAGAACGCCACGAACCAGCCTGAGTGGGAGACTGTTGTAACTGGAGACGGAAGTGACGACAGTCAGGAACTATATGTGCCTCGGTGGTATGCAGAGAACAGAGCAAAACACAGCCAGGAAGTGGGTCAGATGCTCACGAGGCACAGAATGTCACCGTATGAAAGGCAGCTAGCGCTCATCTCATGTTTGGCAATTTAGCAGGGATCAAAGAGGGTGTTTAGTAACCGTGGTCTTTTGAGAACAATGGAAAGGACTTTTGATGAACAATGGAAGGGGTCGTAGGCTTCCTGTTGGGCATGCTTTGTTTTTACTTCTACCGATCTTTCACATGCTAGGAAATGTGGTAAGAAGGATTTGGTGGTGTGAAATGGCTACAGGTATGCTTGCCAACATCCACAAAGCTTTTCATCAGCTTATGACATTTTCATTTTTAAAATAGCCTGGCAGTGATGCACCTGAGAAGAGAATCTGCCTCCTGAGTCAAAGAAGCACAAAACATCTACGCAATTCGTTGTTAGTCGATGCTCTCATTTCCAGGTGCCGACTCTTGCTCATCTACCAGAGAAGTTTCATTATGTGGGGGTTCCTGCCTTCTATGGAGTGACTCCAGCAGGAAGTAGCAGACCCGCAAGCAGGATGGCTTCACTCAGAGCTGTCATTTATGGTTTATAATATATAGTACACTAATAACTTCATGACATGGTTATTCCCTTTCTTAGCTGTTCAAAGGACACCTGGCTCAACGGAATGACTAGCTTATTTTGTCACGCTGTAGGTCATCCTGACCCTTAGAAACAGAATTGAAGAGAGGAGGGAGCATCATGCAATTGTCACACCATTACCCCAAGCCCCAGAAATGCAATGATACAGAAGTTCAGAGATGCAAAAGAGACAGCTGGGAAGGGTGGCCGTTCTCGTAGATCTGACAAAGATAATTCCAGAAGCTTATGGCTTCTAATAATAAAGTTTGAAATTGGCATCATTTCGACGTATGGACGCTATTGACAGAGTTCTCTTGAGGTTACAGTGAGGGCTCTCAGGAGTTAACACCGTAGGCCACAGTCTAGAGGATGAAATGAGACGCATTTATGCATTTCAGTAAGAGGTGTACCAATGACAGGGGAAGGGAGTAAATAGAGATTTTGCATGTGAAGATTCTGAATAAGCATTGCTTATCTATTGTTGTTGCTATTAGACTACTTTCCATGTATTAAGCATTTTCAAAGCCAAATGCTACAATGGGGCTTCTTTTGTTGACTTTACATCTTCTTTTTTTTTTTAATGAACGAGTAGGGTCTGCCACTTTAATTACATAGAATGATATTTCTTCTCCCTTGTCATTTAAATTCTGTTTAAGCCATGCATAAGGTGCCACTTCCATTTAAACAAATTAGGTTAATGGAGTTTTGATAACTCTGCCACTTTTATTCAAAATAAGCCTAAATTAGACATAGGTGCCGCTAACTCAGAAGGGAGTTTTATTTGAAAAGTATGTCATTGGTTAGATAAGGCTTTTTCCAGTTCTTACAAAATACTCACTTCTGACTTTCAATGACTTGTATTGTGCATCTTTGTGATATAAAACTTGGTTATGGCTGGGTTTTTCCAGGCAAGAAATTACAAAGAGAAATTATTTATCAGAGCTGTGGCCACAGTAAGGAATCTTCTTTATTGTGGGTTCAGAGTCTGCACACCTCGGACTTGGGGCTGCAACTCAAACAGTCATTGCCGCAGTAACTCTTGGACTTCAAGAATTCCAGGCTGTGATGGGATAGCCAGACTGCGGCTTTGCTTATTTTCATACAGAACTATGGTTGCCTGGTTCACTTTCCTCCTCTTGCTGCGTTACAAGGATTGGATGTAAATACTTCTATTATTCTCCAAGGAATATTTGAAAATAATAATCTGCATGAGAGGGAGGAAGGTGACATCATGAATAGATGATTCTGTTTCCAAAAAATATTGAGAAAATGGAAAAAAATATTATTCTTTAGAGCAAAGGAATAGAAACGGGCACAAAGTTAGAAGATGAGGTCAAAAATGGGACTCCTCACACCCAGGGCTTTGCCTTTTTTTTTTTCCAGCCCTATCACAGTTTTCCCTCCCTCCCTCTTCTTCTCCCAGTCCCTCCTCCCTCAACTCCTCCTCCTTCCCCTCCCCTTCTCCCCCACCCACTCCACTTCCTTTCTCTTCAGGAAAGTACAGGCCTCCCATATATATCAGCCAGCCATGGCATATCAAGTTGCAGTAAGTTTAGGCACCTCCTCCCCTATCAAGGCTGGATGAGGCAACCCAGTAGGAGGAAGGAGTCTCAAAAACAGGCAACAGTGTCAGAGACAGCCCCTGCTCCCACTGTTAGGAGTCCCGCAAGAAGACCAAGCTACACAACTGTCACATATGTGCACAGGGCCTAGGTCAGTCTCATGTAAGTTCTCAGGCTGGCTGTTCAGTCTCCATGAGACCCTATGAGCCCAGGTTAGTTGATTCTATGGGTTTTCTTGTGATGTCCTTGGCCCCTCTGGCTCCCATAATCCTTCCTCCCCATCTTCCCCAGGATTCCCTGAGCTCCACCTAATGTTTGGCTGTGGGTCTCTGCATGAGTTTCCACTAGTTGCTGGGTGAAGATTTTCTGATGACAGTTGGGCTAGGCACCAATCTATGAGTGTAGCAGAATATCATTAGGAATCATTTCCTTGACCTTTTTTTTTTTTCCAGTCATTTTTGGTTCTATCCTAGGTCTCTGGGCTGTCCAGCATCTGAGCCCTGGCCTCTATGCAGTGGCAGGACCAGTCATTGGTTGGTTACTCCCACAATTTTTGTGCCACATTTACCCCAGCATATTATGTAGGCAGGACAAACTGTATGTCAAAGATTATGTGGCTGGGTTGTGATCCAAATCCCTCCACTGGAAGTCTTGCCTGGTTACAGGAGATGGCCAACAGTTCAGGCTCCATATTACTCATTGCTAAGGGTCTTAGCTGGAGTCACCCTCATAGATTGCTACAAGTTTGCATTGCACTAGGTTTCTAGCTCATCCCAGAGATGCACCCAGATTCCAATGATTTCTCCCAGTACTCTCTCTATCATCCCACAACTGTCCCTCATGTTCCAAAGCCCACCCCTCTATTGAGTCCCATTCCCAACCTGTCCACCTCTGATATCTATTCTATTTTCCCTTCACAGTAAGATTCAACTTCTTTTGGGTCTGTGGACTCTAGCATGGTTGTCCTAATTTATGGCTAATGTCCACTTTTAAGTGAGTACATACCATGTTTGTCTTCCTGGGTCTAGGTTACCTCACTTGGCATGATCTTTTCTAGTTCCATCCATTTGCCTGCAAATCGCATGATGTCATTGTTTTTAACAGCTGAGTCATACTCCATTGTGTATATGTGCCATATTTTCTTTATCCATTCTTTGCTTGAGAGACATCTTGGTTGTTTCCAGTTTCTGGCTATTAAAAATAAAGCTGCAATGAACATAGTTGAGCAAGTGATTTGGTAGAGCATCCTTTGG